CGATGAGCTCATTGCAGTGGTATGTGGGTCAGAGCTCTGCCCTCCTGAGCACCAGCCTCATTGATTGGGGTGGTTACTCCTGATTTGCACCTGAATATTTGAGAGGGGAGTTGGGTTCTATTGTTCATAACTATTAAATATCGTACAGTTTGCAGGACTATGCAAGTGTGCAAACAAAACTTAGGGATGCAGCTTAGATTCCCTTACTGGTCCATGAAGCCTTTGGGCTTCATTAGACCCTCCAGACTTTACCTAATTTTGGCGTTATTCCCTCATCATTACATCATGAATGTGGAGGCAGGGTCATTCTCTCCTATGTTGTGGTCATGTAAGGGATTCACGTGGTTTTAGTAGCGGGTAGGCAGTGTTTGAACAGGTTTCAGCTATTTTAAGCACACTTGCCTGTGCTGGGAGTCACACGAGAAGATTCAGTCTTACCAGAGTGGATTTTGCTCTCCCATCAGATGCAATATATACAGCATGAACTATGGAAATGTGCTTTGTCTTGGTTCATAGCGCCAGAGTAACAAAATGGGAAAGCTGCTCTCTATCCCAGATGCTCTGCTCCCAGCCTCAGGGTATGAGTACATCCTTCCTCTTCATTCACTGGAAATGGTTTCAAGTCTAAGAGACTTTGTTTCATTAATAGAAGTGCAACTAAAGCAACAGAATCTTGGTCCTCTGTGAGAGTCTTTTCCGCTGCAAATCTGTTTTAGCTGGCTGCCTTCAGGGTGCCTGTGAGCAGTGTCAGTGGCTGTAGTTCCTTCTCTCTATGACTCCTTTTGCAAGGTTTTTACCTGCAAAAAAAAATCCAGTCCTTCTGCACGCTCCTTGTGTTCTCCCCTTTCTCTTTTTATTTATCTGAAACTGAGGATTTTGTGATAGGTACATGTAAACCTTACACTTCTCAGGTGTCCTCTTTCTCCTCTCTTTCCCTGTGCTTTTCTGGCTCCTGTCCTCCCACTCCCAGGAAATATTTGAAAGATAATTTGGCATATTTTCTGCCACCTTCACATATCTCCCTGACTTCATGTTTTCTTAGCTGGAAGATAGCTTTTCGACATATATATATGTAATCCTTTTTACCTAGACTTGTGAGGAATTCCAGTCTCTTCCAGTGGGAGTTTTCAGGAAGGTTTAGGTTAAATGGGCCAATAAGGCAAAAGCACAAAAGCATGTAGCAGGAGATCTCACTCTCTAAAGACATCCTTTCTCTTTTCCTCCCCCCCCGAGCCCCTGGAAAATATATCAGAATATCTAGCTGTCAAAGAATTTAAACAATAATGCCTGATCTGAAGACTGGAGTACAGGGCCTTTGAAAAGAAAGATTGTAATCTCTGTACAGTGTATCCAGGGATGGATGAAGCTGGAATTCAGGTGTGCTGAGCAGCAGAGTCCTGTGGGGATATTGCTCCAGCATGGTGGGACTCATTTTACCTGAGCTCTCCATGGAAATTCTCTTGGATTTTCCCTGTTGCTTTCATTGTGGCCGTGGCGTCTTTGTCATGGAGACAGATGCCAAGTCCAGTTTGAATTAATCTAAAATTAATGACTGAGCTTTTCTGCTGCTGCCTGTGAGTGGGGTGGGAGACACCAGCAGCCCCTTGTGCTGGGTCAGCCTCCGCCCCCCAGGAAATCTTGTTGCAGCATTCAGGGCTGGGATTCATCCCAGCTGATTTTAGATGTGTTGTTCAAGGTCCCTGTCCCTGCTCCTCAGAGAATTTAGGGAGATGCCTGTTTTACAAAGAAGCATCAGCTGTCAAGGATGCTGCAGACTGGAAGCCAACTGGGTTATAACCCACCCTAAAGCCTCACTGGTCTCCCTTGTAGGAAAGGCAGTCAGGGATCCCTAAAAATAAGAAGATGTTTCCAACATCATAAGACTCAGATTTTTTAGAAGTGGGTACCTGGGGGTGGCCTTGGCCTGTACTGGGGCAGCTCAGGCCACAGTGGGGATCAGATATCATCTGCTGAACTTCCTTCCCTGTGTTCCCCACTCCTGGCCATTGGGTGCAGGATGATCTCTGAGGGTTGCAGGCCCCTTGGGGCGCTGGGCTGTGGATGCTGGTGTGTTTGCTAGCATGGGTGTCTCATTGGATGCTGCTTATCCACTGCTGCTTGGTCTGGGCTATGGCATCAGCCTGGGAGGGATCTCAGCACTGCTGTAACCTTTGCGGCCCACGGGAAAGGTGACTTCCATTTAGTTCTAAATTATGACATTATTTTATTAGATCTTTAAACTTTATTTAAATTTTTTATTTAAAAAGGGGGAGGAAGGTATCATATTTTAATTAGTAGCGGGGTGCCAAAAGAGACCTAGATTAATTATTTGAAATCACTCCATCCAGATGGTTTTAATTTTCACAGCAGGGAACCGGCATCTTTTTAAGGTGATATTTTTCAAATTAAAATCAGCTTGGATATTACTCATACTGGCTGCAGAGCGAGGGGGTGGGGAGTGTGAGCCGGCGTGCCCCATGTTTGTCCGAGTGTGGGTTGCTCATGGGGATCTGTGTCAGAGAGGTGTGAGCTGCTGCCTGTCCATGGGGACTGCAACTCCAGGCTCTTGTGTTGGAGTGTTTTGTCGGCATTAGCTCCTGCTTTGGCTGGCCAAAGCTGGTGCCTGATATTCACTGTTCTCAACAGCTTTAGTTGCAGCACTGAGGCTGGAATGGATGGGAAATGCCTTGCAGCTTAGAAGGGAACCTGTGGCATCCTGCTCTTGCCTGTGTGGAGCCCTCGCTTGACCCCTTCGGTGGGTGGCCCCGCATCTGCTTGTGTGCCTGGGTGGTTTGGACACTGTGGATCTGTGGGCAACTCCTTGGTGCTCTGGGCGTTGGCCGTGGTTCTCGGACCAGTCTTTGCTGGCTCCATAACCTTCACTCATGTGCTGACTGCTGCTCTCCCTCTCTGAGGTTGGCCATTAGCCCTCTACTCCTGTTAGAGGAACCCCTTTCAAAGTCATCAAAGGTAGATAGGGGTTTTTTGCTGTTCCCTTGTCTATTAATGCTGTGTTGCATCTGAGCAGCCTCCCTGAACTTCTTGGAGCAGTGGGCATTCCCCAGGTTATCTACCATGTTGGTCATCCTTGAGGACTGTTCTTTGGCCCTGTGCCATCCTCCCCATCCTGGCTGGGCTCACCTTGATATCCTCACTGTGATGGGTTATTTCTGGATCACGTGGCCTTTCCCCACAGGAGTGGTCACAGGTTTGATACCACCTTGGCAGGTGTGGGGAGAAAACGTGCAGCACCCATTTTTTCCTTGCAAGCTGCTCTCTATCACCAACTCCCAAGCCCATGATGCATTTCTGAAAAACTTAAATAAATATCCATATTTGTGCACGATTGCAACTAATATTCTGCTGTAATACTGGCATTACCCCACTTGCTGTCAGAAAGAAGTTATAATTTAAATATCCCCTGTGATAACAGATTTAACTGGAAACCCCTGAACCTGCAGATGTGACTGAGCTGCAAAGGGAAAACTCTGTTTAGGGCCCTTGTGAGTTAAAAGTTTGTGATATTTGCTCTGCTGCAGAAGCCAAAAGCTGACTTTACAAGTGGGAAAAATATTAATGTGTTTAAATGAAACAAACTCCCATTTCTATCCCCATGGTAAATCCTTACAATGAATGTATTTGCTCTTAGAGGGCTTTAAAGCTTGAAATATGAATGCTGAAAAGAATGTGACTTTTTGCAGCACAGATCAAACATTCTCCAGAGTTTGGCATAAGCCGTGCTTCTACGGCAAGGCTGGGATCTTACAGGCGTGAGTATTTCCAGAGCAGGACCATGCAGTTGCACTTGCTGACACTTACACATTCTTGCATTGTGTTTCAACCATGTCTCCTTTCTCCCCCTCCATATCGGAGATGGATCTGAAGCAAAATGTCCAGTCTGCCTGTTCCTGCCTCTCCGGGGAAATTCCCGGAATCTGAATCTTGAGCATGACTGGAATTTGTGTTTAGATTAGAGCTGGAATAAAAGGCTGAATTTGGATGTGTCTGGGTTTTTGAGATGATGATGGCACACTGCTCATCTAGGTGGCAGCTTGACCCCTTCTGCAGATACAGCTGTGTCAGAGCAGGTGGTTTAGGAAGATGCAGCAGAAATCTGTCCTCTGCCATAGCTCCTGGTGATGCTGCAAACCAGCTCTGGCATCAATAAATGTGTGAGACACTGTGGGATTGGCCGTATGTGTCCCATCGAGAGTTGAAGACCTGGACCTGGACTGCCAGAAGGCAGTTTGTGGCATCCTGGAAGCACAGCTAGACATGGAGGACATCTGCAGGGTGAGTGTGTATCAGACAGAACAAGCAGTGCCAAATTTCTCCCCTGCTAGCTGTTGTGGTGATCTTCAGGAGATCACTGCGATGTTTTGTACCAGGAGCATGTGGCATGACCACTTCTATGCAGTGTTTGACGGATGCTGGCTATGGGGAAAGGATTTTCTTTCTTGTCATGGTAAGCTTACATCTTCATGAGAATAAAATCTATGTTCTTACCCTCCAAGAACCCTCCTGCAATGTGAAGGAGAGCACTGTCATTGATACAGGCTGCCCAGGGCAGTGGCGGAGTCACATCCCTGGAGGTGTTTAAGAGACGTGCAGATATGACACCTGGGGACATGGTTAGTGGTGGCTGTGGCAGTGCTGGGGGAACAGCTGCACTCGATGATCTTAAAGGGCTTAACATCAAGCTAATATTGCTGATGGGGTGGCGGGGTTGGTGTGGACAGATGGAGCACACACATGTGTATGCCTCCTTTGTGCTAAAACCAGCATTAAACCTGGACCATCCACGCAGGAGTTAGTGGAGAGGTGTCAGTTTTGCACCTGTGACTAAGCTGTGAGCTCAGCCTCAGGGTGGTCCCTTGGGTTGTTCCTGTGCGGAGCATCCCAGGGTGGTTCAGCTGGAGGCAGTGGGACAGTGCAGGTTGCACCCTGTGACTTAATGGGACCACACTGGTAAATGCTTTTTTTTCTTCTTCCTTTACAAGCCCAGCTTCTAGTGGAAACAGACACTTTTGGCAGTCAAGTCCGGATCAAAGGGAAGGAGACAGATTTCTACCTTTGCATGAACAGGAAAGGCAAGCTAGTGGGGAAGGTAAGTGTTTCCTATTAATTAATTTGTAACCTGAGTGTTACCCTTAGCAGCCTCGTCACGGCTGTAAGGATGTGTTCAAGCTTCGCCTGTCAGCCTCAAATGAGAAGCAGGATGGAGGGGATGTGGAGTTTGTGAGGCTGCCCGTGCCCTCCCAGCCTCCCCAGCCCCTGTCAGACAGCCCTCAACCAGGCTGGGATCTCCAGTGGTGCCTCAGATGTGGATGGGTTCATGCTTCACGGTTGCGTTCAATTGACATGAGATGTCATGTCAGCATCCCAGTGCCATGGATGGCACTCCACAATAACTTCCTTACTTGGTCTTTCTTTGGGGGGAAATGCGAATATAAATTTCCCTCAAAAATTCCTTTTAGGGGGAAATTAAAAATAAAAGGGCAAGTGGAGCACTGTGCCGCGGGGGGTGTAGGCAACATAAGGCCCCTTCCTCTCAGTGGTGAGCCAGAGGATGGTGTGACAGAACTCATGCTTGAATTCCAGCACCGTGCTGGAGCTGGGCCTCATGATTCAGTGTTACAGGAATTTTTTTATTACTTTGGATCCCCCCTGAATGGAACCATGTAACAAATTACAATGTGTTTACCCATCTAGCTTAATTTCTTTGCATTTTTTTTTGTATTAATTTGTTTTTGTAATTAAGGCAGTTCTGTATTGTTGGTGAAGCTGGAGGCTTGCTAAGCAGGCAGGGGCTTGTGCAAAGCTAAATTACTACCAAAATAAAAGGAAAATAAAACATCCCAGCCTTCCAAACCCTACTGCCCACACTTTGTACCACCAGGCATTCAAATCTAGCATCTTTGTGGCTATGAAAAAGGAAAGCTTGAGTCAAGGCAGTGAAAGCCACGCTCCCAAACAAAAATCAGAAACCAAATGGCTCTGATGAAAAATTATTTACTTTTGTGGTCCCGGGGGTGACACTTGCCCTCCCCAGCAATCCCCCTCTCCTCCCCTTGTGTGTTCCTCAGGAGCAGTGTGGCTGCTCTGTCGAGGCTCAGTCCAGATCATTTGCTGCCAGCTGTGCCCTGTGCCTGACCCGCTTCGGAGCTGCCTGTCGAGGCATCCAGAGCACTGCTCTGGACTGGGGGAGACTTGGAGATTGGTGCTCCGGGGGGACGGGACCGAAGCAGCCGGTTCTCTCTGCTTCCTGCCCTTGTGCAGTGCGATTGCAACACCGCGTGAGACGCTGTAGTTTGATCTTGGACAGGGAAATTCATTGTTTTAACCAGATTTAGCCTCTCAGGATACACATTGGATGCTTTCAAAGGTTGCATTGGACACAAACCTGACTTTGATTTTTTTTTGTGCTCTAATTTTCCATCCTTTAAATGTGACGATAGCATTTTTCCCTGCAATGTTATAAGGATAATTTTGTTAATGTTTGTGAGGTGCTGATACCACAGTTATGGAGACCTTAGAGGCACTCAAATTAGATGGGGTGAAGCAAGCACAAAATCTTACCTTTTTCTTTAGTAGACCTTTCCCCAAGTGGATCAGCAATGGCACACGGTGCAGCCCACAGCCTTTCCTGCTCTGTGCTAAGTGCCCAGGAGCATCCTGGCAAAGTCAGCACCTGTTTTTCAAAACATACATTATATTTGTATATAGTATGTATTTAAGACTCATCCCTTGATTTGGTCCATTGGGTGCCAAGGCAGGACAGTTCTTTAGCTCGTCACCTTTCACGCAGCATGAACCATTTTTTCCCCCCTGATATGCTTTTCATAGCATTAAGTTGGCAAATGGTTTGTTACAAAAAATAAATGAGTCTATTCTTGTAAATATGAGCCTTCCCACCCCAGCCTGCTGACAAGTTCACAAACCAGCCGACCTGAGCCGGAGGGGGTATGGGACATGGCGTTTGGAAAGAAAATGTTCCAGACGTGTTGCCCATATTAACAGCTTCTCATGCGCAAAAAAAGAAAATAATAGCATGTCTTCTTGATACCAAAAGAACGTGGTTTTAATTATTATCATAGTTTCAACTCTCTTTGTGGCAAGAGTTTGAGGGAATGCTTTTTAGCTCGAATGCTCTAAACAGCTAGTAAACCCCAAGGAAAACATTAGATAAAAGTTACGCCTGGGCTTATACAAATATTTAAGTTCCGTCTGGGGGTGGAGGGGAATGAAACCCATAAACTGATTGTTTCACGGTTGTCCCAGTATGTTCATTTGGCCAGAGAGGAACCATGGGACCAAACCGGGTCTTTTCCTCTGCTCATTTCCTATTGCCTTACACAGCATAATCCCCAACAATACCAGCACATGCCATCTGGCTTTATTCTGCTCCTCAGTCAGCAGTCTTGAGTCCCCCCAGTTGAAAACCTGCTTTGAATTTAGACCCTTTTATGTCCCATAATAACCTAGAAAGTGTATTATGGGCTGGAGCAGGCTATGACAGGTATCCATAAGGAGGGTAGTTTACAGTCCCACCTGTAAAGGGAGAGGAGAGAACAGCCCTGTTTTTCTGGGCTGTCCAAGGGCAGGGTAGAATGGACTTGGCTTCCTGCAGAGCTGCCATGTGGGAGGTGAGGGTGCTACTGCAGACTGTGGCAAGGGAGACACCACTTTCCAGAGCAAGATACAGAAGCAGGGGAGACAAGTAATGTCTGTAAGGAATGCAGAAGATTTGAGAAGAATGGGGAAAGAGCTAAGCACATATTTGAGTTGATCCAGAAGTGTCTTCAGAAGATGCTCCAAGCAATCCCACTAATGTTCTTCCATGGCATTAGATGGATTGCGTCTTTCCCACATCCAGCAGCGATATTGTTCCCTGTTGGCTTCATTTTGAGAACAACTCCACTTCTCAGTGCATTAAGTGACTCCTTGAGCTCTTCCAGGAAGGAGAAGAAGGTGGTGGTGCTGAAATGTATCTCCTTAGTGGGCTGGGACTCAGAATGCAGTGTGGTGACTGTCTGTTGTGTGCTGTGCTCCATTGTAATGCTGCTCCATTGATACTGCAACTCTGCAGGCAACTCCTGCACTGCTGGAAAAGTGGAGGAGTCCTTCTTCTGAGGGAGGATGTGGCTACAGAGAAAACTCCAGAAATAGGAATAGAGTTAGAAAACTGATAGAATGAGGTCTATCACAAATCATCCCTTCGAGCTGTACAGAAAGTGAGTGCACTAAAGTTGTATCCTGAGAGAACTGCATCGTTGCATCAGTTCTGCTCCTGAGAATTGAAGCCTGAGAGCATGTGATTCTATAAAATAGGTGGTTTCCCACCAAAAACACATGCTGACTTGCACCATCTCTCTTTAGGTTTTCTTTCAGAAATCCTTAGTGACCTGGTGTCCACACGTTCTCAAAATCATTGTAGTAGATGTGCATTATTTTTGTTAAAGAATTTTTCTCTGAGCTTAATGTGAGCAGTGGGGAAAAGGTGTTTGGTGAAAGGTAGGAAGCCATGGCCAGTTGGATGGCTGAGGCAGTGCTTCAGGCTGGGGACAGGTAATTTGGGTGCCTTCCAGGGACAGCTTTGCTGATGCCACGTCTGCAGCGCTGGAGCCCTCTCAGCGCTCACAAAGCACTGACAAGCAGTGCTGAGCTCGTGCCCTCAAGCACAGTCCAGCTCCTGAAAAAAACTGTGCCAGCCAAGGCATGGCAGTGCCAGGGGCATGTCATTGGTGCTGGGGGCTGGAGGTGGCATGGCTGTGCTGACCACCTCTCCCTGACCAGCACCACTGTGCTGCTGCCACTTACAACATAGACCTGCCTCTCAGACATAAGATTTTTTTCTGGTGTGATAACTGCTTTCCAAGCCAATATATTTCTTAATGTTACCAGAAAGTTGCTAATACCATATGGCAAGGCTCTCTGTATTTTTGCAGGACAACAAACAAATTGTTGCTAGATGCCAGACTGCTCTGGCAGAGCTTTATCACTGATGCCTGCCAGCAGTAGCCTTTAGGGGATAGTAATAATTTGGGATTGTTTACATTACAGCTTTAAAATAGGGGTTTTCTTGAAGCATGTGTGTGTTTACTCAGAAAAGTTGGCTAAAAAACCGTGACAGCATCAAGGAGTGAAGGCACCCGCTATGGCCCCTGAATGTGCTCTTGGACCTTTATAACCCCTCTGGCCTCATGGGAGAGGGCATGTGTTGTGTTACAGGAACTCCAGGGGCTTCAGTGGGAGCCATCCTTTGTAGGACAAGGAGACTTACCTGGGTGGGAGAGACCAGGTGATTCTCCAAAGCCTTACTCGTATACCTGGAGCAGCTTTTTCATCGATTGGCTTTGGTCAAGGTCGAGGTTAAGATTTCTTGAAAAGCTGCCTTTGAAACACTGCTGGTGGAGACTCCAGGCCAGGGGGCTGAGGCAAGGAGACTTAGGGATGAGCTCTGAGCCCTATGCCCTTTACATGCCCCAGTCCTGCTTGGCAGGGTGCGAGTCCTCCTGGTGTGCCAGGGCTGTCCTGGCGGCCGGGTGTGCTGCAGAGCTGCTCGGAGGTGTGTGGCGAGGGCAGGGGCACACCAAGGTTTGCAGTTTGGAACTCTAATGCAGTAGATGAGGTGTTTGCCCTCCTTAGCTTGGATGTTTAAAACCACACCTAACTGGATTTGGGGCAGAACTCTGAGTTTCACAGGGGTTTGATGCTTATCCAGATTTTTTCCTGGAGTTGCACAGTACTCAGGTTGCTTGAAAGGGGCTTGTAAAACCTAACAATTTCTGGAGCTGAATGCTGAATTTGCAACATAAACATGACCAGAATTGGTGGGGTGTCGGGTTTAATAGTGTGCGTTTTGTGGATCTCTCTGTGGCATGTTCAGCCATAAACTATTCTGACTTGGCATCTCATTTGAAAGCAAAACTTGACATGGCTTTTGCTGGGTCTCACTCAGATCTTGTTTTGAACTGCAATCCGGTTCTTCATATGGAGAGGTTGGTCCTTTTTTGAAGTGAGTTGTTCCCAGGCTTTCACTCCCCCGTGAGTTTGTTTTAGTTTAAGTCATCTAAATAAATGCCTTCAGTGGAGCCTGAAGCCAAG